ACTGCTGTAATTGATCAGTTGGGGTCTGTTGGGGTACATAAATGTCAAAATGTAAAAACAGTAAGTGTACATAAAGCTTTTTTATATATATATTGAAAGGGTTAAAAAGGATTTGCCTTTTTTTAAGATTCTTTCTGAACTGCTGTCCCCTCAGACACATGAGACTCTAAAGGTCAAAGATCAGAGGTTATTATGTATTGTTTCTGGTTATATAATAGATGGACAAAGTCCCAGGGGTTTGCTTAAATGTCAGCAGGATTCATACAGCATTAGTAGGACTCTGTCCAAGCTGCAGGTAAAGTGTGTTGACACTGTTACACGTGTGTTAATTACAGTTTATGTATGTGGGTTTTTTTTCATTGTGTACACAGCCCGCTGGCAGAGCACTTTTCAGCACAGTGAAAAAACACCCAGCAGTGCAACGGTGATGTTTTTCTGTCTGGTGGGGCAACAGTGCCATCTGAACATCAAAAACGGAAATGCAACCTAAAGATGTGACTACTACTACTACTATTAGTATTAGTAGTCATAGTAATAGTAGCAAAAACAGCAGCAGCAGCAGCAGCAGTAGTAGTAGTTGTATTACGAAACTGATTCCACTAGATTGATTAAATGTTAAAACCATATAAATATAAAATTAAGTTGATTAGTTAAAATGTTTTTACTAATTAAATATAATGAAATATACACACTCATGCACACAGCATTACTAAAATGTAATACATATAAAGATATGTTTTGTTTTGTGGGGTTTATGTTAAATGTGCACAAGTCCAACAACCAGCCCTCGAGCCCAGGCTTCATTATTTATGGATGGATATGAGAAGGTTAACTTTGTGTTGATGATCTAGGGGTGTTAAAGAAATCTGTCCAACTCTAGGGTCATCTTTAAGTTTTCTTGTGAACGTTAATGCATCCACCATCAACGACCTCATGGAAACTCTTTAATTGGGAAATCAATTTCAATGAATTTAAATGTGGAAAGTAATTTGTTGTTTATCAAGTCATCAGCTCTTCCCCGCCGAGTATTAAAAAAAAACTTTTCCAAGACATCCAGTAGGAAGGATGCAGGCCTGGATTAGCTACTCTTTACAGCAACAAACTCTATACAGCAACAAACTGACCATAACAAGGATTATCATTTAGTACAAACCTTAAGACATCCAGTAGGCAAGACATGGCCAGGATGCAGCTTCATCCAGTTCAATTGTCTAATGTCTATTGGATTAAAAAAGTAACCAACATAATGACTCAAATATACCAGAGAAGGTAATACTGGGGTTTAATTGACTGCTCTTGGCACATTCAATAAACAACCCCACCAAAATCAGGACTACTGGGAAAAAATTTAAATAAAACTTATCTTTATAATGGTGCTCTCTGACACAGTCCAGTCAACATCTGCCAGAGGAAAAGAGGGAGAAAAAACAAAACTAAATGGAGCAGCCATTAGCATCAGTACCAGAGGTCTACATTAGTCCCTTTAAGTTATGATATTCAACTCACAGATTTTAAGACATTTTTAAATTAGTTGTAAAAATTACTTGCCTGGATTAGCTCCTCTTTAGCCATGTCCTCACCAGAATGTAGTGTCATGTTTCAGCTGCAGGTCCATTGGATTGAGGAGAGAGAGAGAGAAAAAAATCAAGTTCCCTGAATTCTTGCATGTGGAATTTTGTAATGAAACATTAAATCCAAGAGAACCTCAAGCCCACTGAGCACTTAAAGTCTCTTAAACCAGGATTGATCTTCTCTATACAACAACTGACCATAACAAGGATTATCATTTAGTACAAACCTTAAGACATCCAGTAGAAAGGCAGAAGGTCTGGATCATCTTAGCTGAGGTCAAGACCTGACCAAGATGCAGCTTCATCCAGTTCCACTGTCTATTGGATTAAAAAGTAGTCATCAATAAGTGTAGCCAACATAATGAATCAAATATACCAGAGAAGGAAATACTAGGGTTTAATTGAGTGATCTTGGCAGATCAATAAGCAACCCCCCAGTAAAGATTGTTTAAAACAACATCTGTGAGCTGAATAACATTTAAATATAACCGAACATATACATATATACATATACATACATATACATATACACACATATATACATACCAAGTAGGAAAGAGGCAGGCCTGGATTCTGTTGAGTGCAGTCCTGACCAGGATGTAGTATCTCCAAAATCCATTCTCTCAGGTCTATTGGCTGAAATCAATAAATAAATTAATAATAATAAAAATGTCTACAACAAAATGAATTGAAAAAGAAAAAAAATCAGATATACAAGAGAGGGACAAACCTATATTTTTGATGGTGACCTCGATGGGCCTGACGATAGCGGAAGGTGTGGAGGAACCATAATCATTCTTCTTGAAAAGGAAAGCTGAGCTTGACTCCACAGACCACTCACTTACGTCTTTTAGTTTCAGCAGACATCACACTATTAAAAGCAGTGTTGTTTCCAACTTTTGATGCATTAAAATAATGTATCCACTAGATGGCAGCATGTGCAAATACTGTGGCTAACCCAGATAATTTTGGTAACTTCTGGTCTTGACATTGATGTTAAAATGCTTGAGAGTTTGCTGCAATTTGTTCTTCTTCTCCTTGATTTGTTTAAACACATCTTAAGAAAATATACTATTTTTTTCCACTTTTTGAAAATATGCTCCTACACAGAAATCAATGTGTGAGTTCTAATATGTCACAACTGTTTTCAGTGTGCAAAAGTGCATTCCTAAACACACAATAGAGGCAAACCTGATCAAAACCTGAGGGCTGCAGCCAAGATCATAGCGAACATCACAATGTCAACCTGTCGACAGATTTTACAGATTCCAATTGATCTCAATTTGTTTCTTTCGTAATTTTTATTTATTTTTTAAATTTCTGTCTTATGTTTGACGAAGCAAGGAACAGTACGAGAACATCCTCCAGAACTAATATAAATAATAAATAATAAATTTTATGATGCAAACAACACTCAAGTGGATACAGAATGTACACTTGCATCCTGTTAATGTCATAAATTAAGGTGTTTTTTTCTTTTCTAAATTGCTTTAGAACTCTTTGACTTACCCCAGTACCGTTGTTTGGTCGAGACACATAACGTTGTCCACCTAAAAAGGATGAGCTGCAAGGCAGACAGACCAATGCCAACAACTCATTGTACTTCTGTGTCTGTAGGTGCTGTTTGGAAAATACAAAAACAATTAGTCACGGAAACATTGCTTAGCAACGTAATCAATTTTAACTACGTTTATATGTATAAAACAAGACAAAGAAAAAAAATCTGAATTCACCTGGTATGTTCCAACAGCATAAGGCCTTTGGCCAGGGCTGGCTTTTCACTGTTTCTCTGTCAATATTTCATTTAAAAGTTGTGTTAAGATGCAGTTGTTACAGCATTTAGATAAAGCTTATTTTAATTTATCAGAGTACAGCTTGTGTTTGCTTTCAATTCCCTGACAGGTGCTGGAGTAAAGAAGGTCAACCTTGGAGGACAAACTGTGTGTTTTGGTACTGTAGGTGTGAAAAGGCAGACAGGTTAGAGCTTTAATTTAAATAATTTAAAGTCATTCCAATTTTTGTCCTTTTCCAATTTTGTGTCTACCCCTGTCCATGGTTCTCGCTATATTTCTTTTTCCTGCGGGACTGTGGTCATGTTTACCTTCATATAACCATCTCGAGTAAAGATCATTTTATTGTCTGCTCACAGAAACATGACAAAGCACTTAAGAGCGCTCTGCACATGTGCGTGTTATTCCAGTGTGGCACCGTCAGATGGCAGCCGTCACCTGTGACATCATCAGTGAACAAAGTAGCCCCACTTTTCTTAAGATACCACTGAACACTGGTGTATGACTGGGAACTTCATTTCCCATCAGACAAAAGACAACACAAAAAGCTATCAAAGAAAAAGGAAACACACGTTTGAAAATCTTACAATGTTTATAATTGACACAAGATTTCAGGTACAACAGCAAATGAGACATTTGTATTTTTCAAAACCTCTTTCTGGCATCTACCCTCCACTGCAGCACTAATTATCCATAGATTTCTGATAACCACAAAACTATGTCAATAAAACAAGACAAATTAAAATTATTATTATTCTTTTCCCTATACATTGGCACCTTCCAGAAATGCCTGCCATACTCCACCTGGTGTAGAATGACGTGGTTAAAGGTTTGATAATCAGCTTAGCAGTCGGAAACTCGAGCTGCTGATGTGAGATCAGTGCTCTGAATGGGCTCCTTTTTTACTGCTTCCCTTCACACTTGGGCTCTCTGAAGTAAAAAAAAAAACATTCCCTGCCCAGCTGAGGAGTCGACATCTCGCTGGACCATGTGTATCTGCACAATCACATCGCTGCTCAATAGCCATTTCTGGAAGGTGTTCGTTGACCATCTTGTGATGTCTTTGTGCTGACAATGCCATTCATTGGCCTCATAAAAGTGCTGGTTTTATTAAAAAAAAAGGGAGGAGGACTTTGAGAAACAGAGTAATGACATCAAAAGGTGATGGAATAGAGGAGGTGGGAGTGGGCGAGGGGGGTTGTGCAAATTTCAGCTGATGACATTGTGAGGAGAGTCACTGAAACCGAAGCCTGAGTCCAAAGTTGTCATAGAATTGGAATGTCACCATCAGTTGAAGTCATTATTTTTTTTTAACTGGGGCATATTTTTTCATTTTCAAATTTCACATTCACATTTCATTTATAATGGGAATATTCTGAAGGGTGTTTAGGAAAGGACCCACACATTTTAATTCTCCTCTGTTAAAGCCATTAAAGTATGTGGCTTTTTTTTTAGTCGTAATTTTGACCCCAACCTTATACAAAAGTGTCAAAGGCAGTCATAGGCAGATTTTTTTTTTTTAAACCGGGGAGACTAACAGGAAAACACGCACACTTATAAACACACATCCAAACCAAGCATTCGTCACCGAAGCATTTCAAAAACAGAAGGTACCGTTAATTTGTCAGTAAGCAACAATTTCTCCCAGTCATTTAGGATCTAATACATGGACTTCTACAAACTACCAGAGCCCCAAACTGGATCTGCAGTATTCTTAACTGTCAAGCTCATATGGATTTTTGTTAAAAGAAATTAATTTCAGTGGATTGTCCCAGTGTAGAACCGAAGCGATGATGTGCTTTTAAAAAGGCACATCCATTTGCTTCTTCACCCATTTCTCGGTCACATACAAAGCTGACAAGTACAGATAGGATCAATACAGATCGGGGGTTATTACGGTTGTCAGGGTGAAAAATGAGATGTATTAATCTCCCATTGCAGTCTGTTGTACGACACCAGAGCATTCAATGCAAGTCCAATACTTTTAATACATTTCATTTCTGCTGCGTCCAAACAGGGTAAATGTAAATGGCTGTGTATTCGTTCATCCCCACATTTGCTCCGTTATTTTAAGACGAGTGCACACAAACACGAAAAAAACATGTACGCACATGCAAGCACAGTCCCATTATCCTGCACACAGTTCAACAAAATAGGATCTCTGACCTCTCTTTGAATTAAAAACATGGAGGAGTGTTTCCTTCCAAACCTGCTTCTCATCCAACAGAAGCCTCACGCTATCTTTCCCGCGACATTCCCCGCTAAGGTTGACACGAAACAAAGTACTGTGTCATTGTCATGTAGCCTTGCCATCATGTAGAAGCACAAGGAAAGCTTTAAAGGTCAGAATAACCGACGAGGGGTGAGGAGGGTGTTCTGGACCGGCGGAGGCACTGATATAAAGAGAGCTGCAGATATAGTATCTGCCTGGCAAATATGAAAGCGAGTTGTAGCATACAGATGGCTGGATATTTTTGGATTTTGTTAAATGGCTGTTTTTGCTATAAACAACAGGTAAAACAGTACAAGTATTTACACTGGTGTCAATGTGAGGCCGAGAGTAGTCCACTTCAAAAATGTCCGATGTGTGTTTCTGGATCTATGACTAGCCCAAAACTAGAGACAGTGCTGGTTTATCACAGGGACGCTGGGCCTTTGCAGGGAGAAAAAAAATAATTCAGATTATTATGCTTTTCCTCTCCTGTGCACCTTAAAAGAATCATGGGAAATGAACACACTGCCTGACAGCTGTATTTTTGCTTCTGTATGATTTCATTTGTGTTACTCATTTCCAAAAAAAAATCCTTTGCTCGAGGGTGGGGTGAGTGAGGCGAAGGGCATTAAACCAACACCCTATTCCACATAACAGGGCTCTACAGTAGAGAGCTGCTGTCATCTGAGACCCAGGCCCAGCCTCGCATGTGTTTTGCTTCCACTCTCCTCTCGACTTGATCCTTCACTGCCAGCAGGGTTTTTGAAGGAGTGGGAGACCTAACTCGGCGGGGGGGGTGGAGGTGGGTGGGAATGAAGGACGAGCGCACGGACAGAGTGTTGAGTGGAGGGTCATGTTACGCCAACATTAGACGATCGTGTCGGTGTGAATGTGATCACGGCTGTTATTACAGCTTAGATGGCCAAAAAGGGCTGACGCAAGAGCGCTCTCATCCTCACTGTGGAATATTCTGAGAGCTTAATGCATTAAGAGATCTGGTCTGGGGTCTTCAAGCCCTGATTACACTGCAGTAGAAGTCATCTAAATTTTATTTCACTTAATGCTGCGGTTTGTGATCCTAGGGCTGATAAGGTCGCTGTCACTTTCTTTTGGAGTTAATAATAAATAAATAACCCTACTGAACACAAGTGCTAACCTAGTGTAAAACAGGTGGAATTGCTAATGTTATGTATCCGAGTGCCACTGCAAAGCCTCGTTTTCTCTCTCTGCATGGTGTCAACACCAACATGCTCTACTGGTAGAAATATAGTTTTACACGTCTTAGGTGCAGATATAATATCACAGAACCCACACACCAGAAATGAAACATACGATGATGCAAAAGACCAGCTCCAACTGTGTCATAATATAGCAAGAAGTAAAAGAAAGAGCAGGAAGAATTTATGAATGTTTTGTTCATTTTGCTCGACCACTGAACCAAGCAAAAAAACCCAAGACAAATCTGGTCCATCCACATGATTTGTTTTTGTTGTTTCACTAACATTTTCTTTGTTTTGGCAAAGTAACTACCCCAGTTAACTTCTTCTCACTCCCTCTTTTACCCTCCCCCACCCTGTGTCCCAAACTCAGTCCCAGTTAGTACATTCCCCTGCAATTATCGTCGGAGCAGTAAAATAAGCAGCGGAAGCAGGTAGACGGCCACGCAGGGCAGGCTGTGGCTGGCCGACGCTTTCACCTCCTTGTTTTCTGGAGGGTAGGGGTAGAGCACTGGGCGCTCGGTGATGGGGTCGACAAATTTAGGACTCCGAGAGCACATTTCCTCGGTGCACAAACCACTTCCTGAACCACTGACATCATCACCTGTAGACAGAGAGCAAGTCAGTGTCAGTGTCATGTAGAAACATGGCGTCATGACAATTCTGATGTATCGACACTAGCTCAGGGGAGTCCACACTTTTTTGGCTTGGGAGTTAATTCATATAAACATGCATTATATATTAATTATATGTTAGGATTCTGATTAGACCCATGTAGCTGTTTGGAAGAATATAATTAACTCTTTTACAGTATATAGCAGTGTTATTTAACCTTGGGATGATAACTTTAATGCAGCACTGTCTCCTATTATAAAAATGCATATTTCATTTTATATATATATATATATATTGAAATATGTATTTTCATTGCCCTCGTGTTTTAAAACATTAAAATTCAAAAATGCTGACTTGGCTATTTTGTGGACTACATGAAGCAAACTGGAGAATGTCTGGGATTATTTTTCGGAACAGTTTTACTGTGGTGTGTAATGATGATGATGACGCGACGGCGATACACACTTGTATCCTGAAAGTCCACATCCTGGCCGTTGTATGCGTTCTTCAGGCGGTGTGTCATGATTTTCAGCTGCATTATCTGCTGACGTATAGTCATGTCTGGCTTGGTGATGTCAATTTCCACCTCTGGGTTATTGATCTGACTGGCCAGACCGTCACCCATCACCTCAGGGAGATACCTAACGTGAGAGAAAACAGTGGTGACACGTTTGTAACACACACTCTTTACTTTTTTGATTTTTTTTCATCACCTTGTCAGACTGTGTCATAACAGCCGGCGTGGTAATGATGTGATAATGATATTCAGCATTACCTAATCTCCCAGGATACTTTTAAAACCGTTTAATAGAGACACAATCACATCACACTCAACAGCTGTGGGAAGTTACTGCACAAGTTGTGAGCTAAGTACAATATTATGGATAACAAGTCAAATGACAATAAAACATACTGAATTAAAATATTTTCTTTTTCGAAAATGATTTCTTTTATTTTTTACCTGGCACGACTTATCCCATTCCAGCATTTATCTTCAGCCCCTGTCCCAGTAGCTATTCTGTCACTGCAGAGCAGTTGTGGGAGAGAAACCCAGTAAGACTGCATCTCCCTCAGCCTCGACGTGACATCGGACACCTAAGGTCGACAAGAGCAGATTGTTTGGCTTTTAGTTTATTTTGCCTAAAGCAAAGCACGGTGACCAAACTCCATGTTATTCGTTCATCCACCTGACTATTAAGTTCAAAACTCACAACCTAACAGCATTCTGGGAAAATGTCAAATACAGCGTCCGTCATGAAGCATTTCAACAAGTGGAGAAACAGTGCAGTGGTGCATATACACAGAGTTAAATACTGACCAGTTTGTCTATTTTGCCTGAGGTGGATTCCAGCCTGTCCTCCACTGTAACCCTCCCTCTTTTCATGCTCTCATCGACCCCTGTGTTGCTGCTGGTTCCTCCCTCTCTGAGGCTGCCACATGCCTGGAACAACTGGAGAAAGAACAGAAGAAAGACATTGCAGTGAATTTGTATAAGATTACATTGTAATTTGGATTTAAAAAAACATCCATGCCAGTGATAAAGAATTGTCCTTTTTGGACCCCTTGGTTGACCAAGTGGGCTGAGTATTATTGCATTTAATCACTGTCTTCTGACCTTGCTGTTGATGGTCTGTATGTTCTCCATCATCGTTAGCATGGCTTCTGATATGCGGCTGGGAAGGGAGAGGATGACTCTCTCCACTCCAGACGCACCGGTGAAACGTTCAGCCACCTGTATCATCGTTTCTACAAAGACAGGATGTAGAGCAAACACCCAAAAAATAAAAATAAAAATAAAAACCAACTCTTTAATACAACATCTATACAGTAACTTGGCTTTGAGCACAACTTTTTTTCTGCCCACCTGCCAGATGCCTCCACTCAGTGTTGAGGTCAGCCTGGTTGGCCAGACAACCCTTCATGACGTTGCTGCAGTAGTTAGCACAAGGTCTGGCAGAGGCCATGCCGCGGCAGTGTGGACAATAAGTCATCTTCATCGTGGCCCGCATGCACTCCTGGTTCAGCTGCACCTGGAACAGGAGAAGGACAAATGTGAAGGCTTGACACTTGGATGAGAAATTGCTGTTTTATTAAGTATGTGACACATTCAAAAAACAGTTAGTTTGAACAGTTATAGTCATACTGTAGTTCAGTAAAAAGAAACAACACTGTAGGGGTGGAAAAATTGGATATGTACATGAGAAATAAGCTACATTAATGTATTGTATTATTTGTTACTCAGAAGATTGGACTACAGGGTAAGTCCATGTTAAACAATTCTAGGTGATGGAACCAACAGCATGTGAGTGGGTTAGAATGATGGAAATTGCTATTCCTTGCTCATGAAGTCTGAGTCCTTGCTCAAAGTTGCAACAGTGCTGCTAAAGATTGCACCCAACTCTTGTCAAATAACTCTCTGCTCAGTCATAATGCCTACTGCTCTTTTCCTGAATCACTGTGGTGAAAGAGCAGAGGAGACATGGGTTGAAGACATCCTCATTTGTAAAAGAAAAAAAAAAAAAGACATCTCTGTCGTATCTGCCTGAGCCGCCCTCACATGTTCTCAAAGCAGGTACTTGTTTGCTTGTGACATTCAGAGACTTTTTCTTTGGTCCAATTAAAAAGTGAGTCAAGTCAATTTACTTTCCTGAAATAAAGGCAAAGAGATTTGGGATTTTAAAAACCCACAGAATCCATTAGACACGCTGTATGTTGAACAAAACTTTTAGGTAGATTAAACTGAGACATAAGTGTCTCGCATCCTTCTGGGTCACAAATAGGTCACCTCCCCGTTGCAACCGGTTTCTTGTTAGCACTGGACCTTTAAAATTGAGCACAGTTTCCCCAGAAACCACTTTGGGAGGACTTTCTTTTTTGTTTCACATGGAATGAAAAGTCCCTGACAGTGAAGTAAGTATTCTGAGTCCTCCATTCTGTCCTTTCTGTCTCAATTCCTTTCTCAATCCCACAGGGTTGTTCCCCCCAGGAAAAGGCCTTGGTGCATGAAAAATGAAACTAGGTTAATACCAGTAAGCTCTGTTAGCAAGAGAGCGCAGTTCTGCATGCCAAACCTCTAGAAGTGTGCACATGTTTGTGAGAGAGAGCGAGAGAGGAGAGAAAGAGTGAGAGAGAAGGAGAGACACAGAGAGAGAAAAGTAATGAGTCCAACTATGCATACAAAGCTCCTCTAAGCTGACATCTGGGCCAGCCTGATGCTTTTCCTGGAACTGTTCTTCCAACACCAAAGTCACATTTAAAACTAGGTTCTAATAGATACAGCCTGTAAATATGGCAGCAGCAGAATCAGGTGGATAAAAACCAGCTCCACTCATCTGTTCTTTTTTCCCCCTAAAACTACATTTTCAGGACCATTTCTCTTATCCATAAAAATCACTCATGTACGACACTTTACCTTCATTTATAGCTTGTAATCCCTGTTGTACTTCACATTCGCACATTATGGGCTTTTCACCAGATGCTGTGTAAAAATCACCAGCTAAACAATCTTTGTTACTGATTCCTTCCTTGATTCTGTGGTTGTCGCACAAGTCTTTATAACAACAATTACAATATAATGGAATTAAATTTTACATTCAGCAGTCACGCTAACGGTCGTGTCTTTTATGTCGACATTGAAATGAATGGCTATATATATATAAGTGTATAAATAAAAAAAGCTATTAAAGGCATAACTAATGAAAATTACAAACACATTTGTTATGTAATAGGGATCATTCTAATTTAGTTATCATTGTCAGTAAGACACCAGGCAACTCAAAAAAACTAAAAAGTTATATAAGTGACACAGAACAGCAGTAACCGCATTCCTGGGATTAATCTCCAGTCATATGAGACATGAGTCAGTTCCCACTCTTGCCCTTCGCCTGTTTCCCTCCTTCCATGGTTATCCTACCACTCATTAGCCAAGGATGAGTCAGACAAATGAGAGAGCGAGAGAGAGAGGAGAGAGGGGAGTGAGGGGAGGGAGTGTCAATACAAGAGTAGAAAAGGCTTGGATGTAAGAAAGCCCGGGTGTTATTAAAAATGTTTTGGCTTTAACAACGGCTGTTGGCAGGAGATTTAAAAATTAACATGTCGTATGGAGAGACAGCCATTTATCCAGTGTCTAATAAATCACCCATACAGCGCTAACGGTGGGTTATCTGAGGTCACAGAAGAGACAACACACTGTGTGACTTCTCCCTGTTGGTAATTGGAGGTTGATGTTGACAACTTCCTCAGTAGAGCTCCAGGCACCAGGCACTGGCACTGGAGTAGACAGGGCTCTCAGAAGAGGTCCAGTAATAAAACACACTCCAGTGGCTCCAACAAAGCATCATTTCATTAACAATGTAATTTAATTTCCGGAAAAAAAAAAAGAAGTGTCATATAAGGGTCTTTACGAGATCTCCACTTCAGACCTCGTTCAAATATATTTCGGTATAGTTGTATAGTCGGCACAATTCTTCATCTTGTTCTACTTTCTGTCTTATTTGTGTAATTAGTGAGGATAAACGGATGACCTCCGCCCTTGTTTTACAGTGGATCGAGACTCCTCGTCTCCTGAGCGGGCTACAGTATGTGGTGTGTGGCCTACTTTTCCTACGCTGCCTTACTCAAGAGAATAAAAAAAGCCCGGAAGGAAACAGCAACTGGTGCAAACTAGAGGGACGCAGGAGAGGAATTAACACAATAGCAGACCGAGTATTTTTCATTTCTCATGGACAGTGTACAAATACCTTCTGTGCGTTTAGGTCATGTTTCCTTTAATGCTGTAGAACAAAAGGGACATCTGTGGACATTTTCCAGCATACATGCTTTTTAAAGCTCTCTATTTTTACTTGCACTTCAAATATATTTTTTTGTATGCTTTAAAAGGAGGTCAGAACTGGCGTTATAATTTAGAAGTGAAAATACGATACAGATACAGCACAGCCCTAGTTGTTCTGCTGGTATTATACACAGCTCAGAAATTGAAACTGGATGTAACAAGTAGGCCGCAAACCTCTACACTAAATATGCACAAAATACCAGTGCAACACAACATGAGCTGCTTTCTAATACAACAATCTATGTACCAATCTGTAAATATGAAAATGGTTAAATATAAGTACAATACTAAACCACCTTAACATCCGGTAATGTTAGCTGTAGACTTAGCGATTGAGTATCATAGTTGTGTTAACACAAGAAACAAGCAATACAAATGACTTATTTTATATGGTGTCAGAACCGAGGTCCACATTTTCTTTAATGTTGCATTGCATTTGTAATGACGTTTTGAGTAAACTGGGAAAACAACAGTCAAATGACCAGCTAGCGTTTACTTCAAATTAGAGATGGCTCGATGCGTTACTCAGCATTGGTATTGGTCCGACATTGGACACATTTTTAACAGTGACAAAATTAATTATACCCTGTCTGTTCTGATACTTAAGCCCAAATGCTCAACTTAACTTTTCATGCCGTAAACAGTGACACGCAATGCTGAAGGAGAAAACAAGGTATCAGGCTGATATATGTATCTGCAGACATTAATAATACATCCAATAGTAAATCCAAAATGTAACATAAAGCTGTTCACATCATGGAAAAGGTTAAATACAACGGTATTTGGCAGAGTACTCTGAAATAGCAACAGGCGCGATGGAGCAGAGTTAAGTGGGCACTCAGATAAAGACAGGAGATGATTCTGGAATCTGTCACAGACTTTTCTGTATCTTGTTCTCACAGGGTTTTTTTCTGTCTTACTGTTCTCAGCACAAGGCTGATTGTGTGCTGGTGAAGACAGGAACGCACCACTGTTAGTGGGACTGAGATTTAACAGATGGTTCAATGTACCTTATCAACCTTAACATGAATTATTCAGGGAAAATAAGACTCTCCGTAGACGCTGCTGCTATTTTCGATTTTGTCAAAACAGATTTTACTATTCAGTACAAATATTCACCCACTGACTTTGTTTTTTATTTTTCTGAGACCATCAGAGAATGTTACTGTACATACAGATGTTTGAATATTTTAGGGGGGGGACGTCAATTCTGGCAGCTAGGGTAAACAAGATAATAACTTGTGCAGCAATGACGGATCGATAACAGCAGCTTGATGTGGTGAAAAGCCGGAGAATATACCTCTGTAAGTCTCTGTAAGCTGTAAATCCACCACCTCTTAGCCGAAGACAGGAGATAACTTTATCTGGGAGATTAAACAGGCAATGCTTCTCTTCCATTGGACAGCTGTCTCTTCCTCACTCAGACTCAGGCTGAATTTTGGTGCAGTCTGTCCGCTGCTGACATCTCAGAATGAGGAGAAGGACAGTTTGACTGAGCGAACTCTTTTCTAGCCGAACAGCAAAGCAAAGCTGAAAAGTGACTGCAGCAGAAATTCCCTGGGACTGAAAAAGCCTCTAGCACAAGAAAGAGGAAAAACAAAAGTGCCCCCTAAAGAATCTAGGTCGACCGAGTGGCCGGGGACTGCTGTTTCAACTCACAGCAACTCCAGAAAGGTAGCCCTGCATTTTCTGTTTTTGTACAGTTAAACAGACTGAGCCTGGAAATTCCCTTCAGAAGAGACTGACCAAGTGGGCCCACGGAGTCTGTCCATACAAATACTGCATGTCACTTTAGACTTCAGATGAGTGTGTGTAAATAGGACAGAAAGCAGAAGCATGACCTCATTCAGTAAGCCTGGTGCTGTCCCTTACACACACACACTGCATTAGCTGGATGTTGTGTATTCACAGGGAGCCACACCGGGGACTTGTGCATCACTAATGGTAGAAAAATAATAGGATGATGAAACGTGTGCATTCTTGCACATTGAAGGCACCGCGGTGTGTATGCAAATGTTTGCATAAGGTAATGCTTCATTTAGCATCTCGCTGACACACTGCGGCTGTACAACAAGGGACGTATAGACAACAACAAGTCTCATTTTAAAGATGAAACGTACAATGTAAAGGCGTTGTGTTGCGATTTTGTAAACAGATATTTTTCATCTCTCGTCATTATGCAGAGCAGCTACAGATTGCGTGCACTCTTTCTCCGACCTGCATTCAAATGAAGAGATTGTAATCTCTTAATAAACAGTAGTTTTGTAATTTGTTTTCACTGGAACAAATGCTTCACCTCAAAGAGGCCAATCATTGCTGACAGTGATGTATGCTGCACTGCGGGCGATGCACAGACATGTTGGTGGAAGGAGTGGCAGGTAAATCTGTTTGATTGTGTTTTATATTTATTTTGTGTGTTTGCTGAAGAATTAAAGCAGATTAGTCACCTATAAAGCTCAATTAAAAATGTGAACAAATAGACCGCGCCTTCTTCCCTTAATCTCTCTGATCATTTTTCTGTCTGTGAAGAAATCCCTCTCTCAGCATATTTTATGGAATATTTTCCTCAGCCTGGACCACCTTCCTTTCAGGGCATTAAATAACTCCCCCAGTCCTGCTCCGATCTTGCACATTTTTCTGTTTTGTACACAGAGGGAATCGTTTCTGGTGGCAGATAAAAACTCTCCCTGCAGCCATGAAGATTTTTTTTCCAGCGTCAAACAGTAATTCAATGTTATTGCAGGGGCTGATGGCTGGAGCTGTGGGCAATGCTTCACAAAGGCCCGGGCTTCGCTTTAACAATGACCCGTCTTCGCTCTATGAACTCGCACCCACAAAAAGGTAAATCTACGAGAGCGAGAGTTTAGGGGTTCAAAGGGTGAAGACGGTAAACAAGTCTCTGCAAACGAAGGAGAGCAATGTCGAGACCCTGTCAGGGTAAGAATGTGTAAAGTATGGCTGCTCAGTAAATGGATGAGCTCTGCCAGAACAAAGTGACTTTTCTCTTTGTCAATAAGTCAAAGTCAAAGTAAATGTCTAATTTATTGTCAATTCTTCTTTAACCCAGATGACATAAAGAGGATGATGGGTTAACATAGACAGGAGGTGGTGTTGCTAACATATTTGTCCCCTATTTTGTGAATTATGACATATGTGAATACAACAGTCTAACACTGAAATGTAAGGAGTAATAGTAGTTACACTGTATCATGTTAAACCTTTTAGTTGTAATGCAATAATTTAATAAGGGCCCAGTTCTCCCCCCCCCTCTGCCCTGGGCCTGGGACAGCAGACCTGTTCACCCCCCCATCAGAGGCCAGGGGAGTGAGACTAAATCTATTTTTCTATCATGTCAGAAACTAACAACAGGTCGGATCACATGAGGCTGATAAAGAACTTCTTACAACATACAGTAAAACATTTTTTCCCTGCTCCCATTTGTTTAAAAAAAGAAACAACTTAGTGTTGAAGTACTGTATACACACAAGTCTGTACCTTCAAAAGTTTTCCTCCATCATCATGTCAGCTTGTTCTTCCCTTCTTGTGCAAATTGATCTTTTTTAGCTGATGTTACTTCCGTTCATTCAGCAGAAACACACTTATTTTGTGTAAAGAGCCGATATCTCCATTCCATAGACTGACAAGAGGCTGCTAACATTTGCATATAAATAACAAAGGAGCCTGCATTTGAAGTTTTTACTGACACCAGTGAATATGACACTAATGTATCAATCAGTGACATTTCCACATCGGAAGATAGTGGATCAAAAAGTTGACACTTCAACTAATCATTTTTAGGTTTTTAAATTTTTTTTATAATAAAACCAAATGCGCTACTATGCGTTATTTAACTTATGTATACAGTACCTGGGACAGCTTACGTACGACTTCCCCACTGACCAACAGTCCTTGCACAAAGGAGCGCGCTGCCACAAACGTCCGTGTGACCAGCATCTTCATGGCATGCGGCGTGTCTCCGAAGGGTCGCAGTGTTTCTATCTTCTTGGATACACACTCTAAGTAGTCCTCACCTGCGACCCACAATTCATCTATTAAAATGGAGATGTTCTAAAATATACATACAACGAATGTCATCTTTTCCATACGTACCTATGACATATTGTTGGTTTGTCAGGTGGAAGAGCTTCTCAAGCAGCCTGGCCCAGAAGTCGTTGAGCACTTCTTCTAGATTAACATTGGCGCCGCGATAGTACTGCCTCAGATCGATGTACAGGTCGGAGAAGATATGCGATGTCTGGTGGTATAACAAACCCCAAACTGTCGGGAACGTCTCCTGCAGGCTCAGTTCCGGCAACTCCATGAAGTAGCCTTAACACACAAATAGTTAAAGGTTTGAGCGGGCATAGTAAAGGCTAAAGCTTAATGTGTTTCAGCTAAATGTTGATTTAATTTTATTTTTTAGTAAGTCTTCTTTTAGTTATATTTAATTTTTTTATAGTTGATTTTCATCTTTATTTCCATGTTGTTCAAGGGCAAACACAACAATTGAATAATGTTTCAGTCAGACTGCAATGACTCCCTGGAGTGTTTTAAGTATATTAACAATATTTTCCAGGGGTGATGTCATCTGAAAAGGTCGAGAGCCACTGCTTTAGTACAGAAAGGAGTCTTGAGAAAATGCAGACACTGGTCTTTTATCATAAAGTGAATAAATCTGTGATTTTAGGAACATTTTGACAATCTTTAACTACCACATTTTCTGGCCAACCTTTAGACTCATAATCGGAAATAACAAAGTTTGTTCTGATGTAAGTGTTAAATCATGTATTGGCCTTTTGCTTGCTTTCAGCATTGTGTTTTTTTTTTCCATCACTGATTGAAGCCTCTATAGATAGGGAAGGGAGAGAATGGGAAGCTCCCTCATCTCCACAAGGTCACACTGCCCCTGAGCGGGCAATTTTTTTCCTTATTTACACAAAACACAAAATTGTCCAAATGTTGATAACAACAAAAACCAAAAAAACAACAAAAAAACACCACACCCCAGTGTTAAACGGTAGCAATACTTAGATGCATCTGACTATGATCCCAGCCCTTGGAGTTACACAACATGTTAATGTGCTGAGCACACCCTGACCCATCTGTGTGACATTATCTAAGCAGTGGCCTTGTTAAATGCTGCTTTCCCACTCATTAATAAACACCAACTGGTCCACTGCAGCGCTGTTGTTATTTGCTGCTCTCGGCTGACATTTTCACAGACTCCGTGCCAGAAAGGTCTACTCTCACTGGAGCCACTGATGTGAAAATGTGCCTACAGGAGTAAATGTTTACATCCACAAAATTCTCTATGGAGTGCGTTTACGTGCATTACCAGAAAAACAAGATGTAAGATCATTATTATATGATGTATCACCCTTGTTGTGCTAAGTGTAAACGATATTGAGAAATATCGTTTACCAGCCACCATTGGCTTGCCCTGGGATCAGGGATCAATAGAGCTGGATTCCACATGTATTAGAAAAAAATATCTGACTTGAAACCTAAACCTGAAATCCTACCAATATGTCAACATAGCTCAGCAGTCAACAGCCATTAAGCATGGACTCAGGCTTTTATGTTTTTCCAGGTTTTGTCAGGTGCAGTTCCAAACATACTGTACTGAAAAATATTACAATAAAATTATACAGGTTTATTTATTTATTTCTTGTTTACTAGTGTACATTTTGAGGTCTTGGGGGGTCCTGGGGTCAGTACAGGAACTTACTGGTCCACCCAGAGACAGATAAATAATAACACAGATTCATATATCATGGTTAAATATAAAAGTCAGAGTCACCTAAAGAAACCAGTGTACAAAGAGGAAAGAACACACAGATAAAAATCAGGTTCTATCGTGGATCGAACCAGTGACGTTCTGGCTGAAGGAGCAGAGAAGAAACCACTCTTCACCGTGTGGCTGCTCTTCAGGTTTGAGGTTTCTGCATCATTTCCTATTGTCTATCTACACCATTTGATTCCCTGAAAATTGTTGTTGTTGTTGTTTTTTTTTCCTCCACTAAATTCCCCTCAGTTCAGTACACCTCGTATTACTTTGAAACACAGCAAATAATAAAGTTGTCAGTGTGATGTTTACTGATATACGGGTTTGTGAGATACCTGAGAAACTACAGTCAAACCGACAGTTTTTCCAAGACACATTGTCATAGTTCACCACGATGGCTTCAGGATAACAATAACAAAGCAATTTCTTGGTGAAAAGGTTAATGGAAATATAATGAACACTGCCAAGATTTATTTTGACAGCGAATTATAAACTAATAAATTGTGTGTCCGTGTTTGTTTGGCTAAAACAGATTATAATGCTGAATGAAAACAAGGCATCGACCTGCAGAGCAGCTCTCTGCCAAGCGAGGGCGTTCACAAGGAGATCATGCATCGTTTCCGATCCGTCTCGTCAGTCGCAGTATCTGCAGGCACAGCGCTCAAGTGGACAAACGTCTGAGAGCGCTGCAAATCATAATCACACTTCTAAGAGTCAGCAAAACGGCAGATGTGCAGACTGGGAACTTCAAAGTGACAGCACATTTTCATACATTCACATGAGGCAAACTGATGGGTGTAGGGGGATGTGATGTAACAGGTACAGATTTGGCTTTTAATTTCCATTAGAATTTATTCCCCGCTGTGCACTTTCAGACACTGTCAAATGGCTCCTGTCTGGCTAAGTGAATTGTGCTCCAGCAAAAAATAGTTCAAAATGAGGCGATGAAGTGAAGGTGCTTCATCCTCAACAAAAAATACTTCAGAATCATAAAAATAATAATAATAAAAAACTTCATAATGTGGTTGGAGCATGATTTTCTTTTCCCAGTGCTCTGGCTTTACCATATTTGAAAGACGGCTCTTCAGCCAATGGCACCACGCTGTCCAGTTATCCTCTGCCCTTCAGCTGAAGTGAATAATGAGCATCATTATTATGACAAGGCCCCTGTGTGTGTGTGTGTGTGTGTGTGTGAGATGACCTTTCCTATTGCTCATCCATTTGTGACTCAATGACAAAGAGCCATGAGTTTAACCCCCTCCCTAACCCCTTCTGATTCGTACTCTCTCTCACAGTGCCTGATGTTCTTCATCTTCTCCTTCCCTGCCTCTGTCCTTCAGTGACTGCAGATTACTTACTGGTAAGAAATAGTTGGGCCCTTTATAAAAGTCTTCTTGTTGGTGTGTAAACCTACTGAGGAAACAGATGGTCATCTTATGTACAGGTATGATTTCTAACTAAATAAATGTAAGCTCGCTGCCTTGTTGTTAGTAGTAAATGCTCTTTTATCGCAGTTTTTAAGATTGCATACCTCTTGTTGTGGCTAGTCATTTTATTCCCATAATACTAGTGTTGTGATGGACCAGGGCCAAACGGTGGAGGGGCGGTAAGAGCTCTCGCTGTATGGGAAGTGATTGGTCATTTGTTTTTTAGATTATTCCCAAACCTATAACATCTCCCTGTAAATTCCCACCGTCTAATTAAAGTAAACTGTAATTGAAAACCACCTAAATTATGTACCGTGTTGAGTCAAATGCAGTGCTGCGTTGATTTTAAATGTAAGATTAATGGTTCAAACACAAACACACACACCCCACGCACACACTCTGGGGGCAAACGAAGACAAGCTTGTGTGTTAATGACTTTCTTCCTGCGGTGAGAGGGAAGTTAATGATTTCATTTGTAATCAGTCTGAGCTTCACATCCAGGCCACCTTGACATGTCACAGGTTTGTTTCAACTCTCTCCCGTCACGTCAAGTGCTCACGCAAACCCTCATATACGGTCAAATTCTAATGTGCCATTTTGTCCTCCTCCATACTCACAAAATCCTCCAGTGGTCAGGACACCTGTCTCCATCTCTTTCCTCTGTCTTCTCTATCAGCTAGTTGGTGACAAGTCCATCACTTTCTCTGGCTGATGCTAATCACTCTTCTCCTCATTCAGGTTCCATTAACCTTGGCTTGAGTCACGATGAAAAACTCTCTTTATTCACTGTAAAGCTCAAGCTTATGTTACAGCGAAGGTATATTACATTAAAAGGCCGTTTGAACAAAGATCTTCAGAGCTTCAGTTTTGTTAAAGCCAAACAGCTTTTCTTTTGCTAAAGAATTTCCATTTCCGAGGACATTACCTAAACTTCGAACCCTCGCCGATCCTAGACATTATAATAAAACAGAGCGACCTGTGTGAACCCTGCTCGTTGTTTAAACCTTTAAACAGATTTTTGAGTTTTGTACAAAATGTTTTTCTTGATGCGAGTTTCTCTCTGAATTCTTTTTATTTTTTTGTATTACTTTTCCCCATAATGTTTTCCTCCTGTGAATCTCTCTTTTGAGTTGATGTCAAATATCAGGTCAGAATCACGTCAGTATTTTCAGCTGTTAGAAACTCAGACATATTCTCAACCCCGTTGTCTGCACAGACGGTGAAACCTGCCTCGGCATTTAACCCACGCACAACAACGACTAATGCCAGCTGTTTCAATGGCTGCAGACAAATTTTTTTTTGTTTTTTTGTATGCCAAGTCCTTCATTTCTTATTTTCCATTTTGCTTATTTTAAGAACTTTCTTTGGTAAAACTGCACACTACTGTACTGTATATGAATTTATTTCCTCTGAGTGTTGCCGGTGTTAGAGATTCTTGCTGGCTGCACAATCTCCGCCGAGGATCATTAATTTATCCAAGAACAAATTCTCCTTGTAACTCATGTCACTGCCCGTGTTCGTCCATGTCTCTTGCCACTATATCATCCATCTGCTCTTGTTATGATACTTGTTAACACTGAGACATTACAACATCACCTAGTCTCTCCCTCACTCTGCAGTGACCTGGCAGGCATGTGGCCAAAAGGGACCACCCTAAAGAGCATGTCAGCCCACTGTTTTTTTTTCCTCCTCCAACTCAGCTGCCATGGAAACATGGAAACTGTATCTTTAGGTTGATTTGTTCTTACTAATAGTGTCATGGGCCACGTCAAGTTGTCTTGTGGGTTGTATATGGCCCATAGACAGGAAGTTCCTCACCCTGCAATAAAAGCCCAGACGTAGCAACCCGGTTGAGAAACATGACATATCAACTGAGTTTTGGCAGCGGCATTTTTTTTTTAAAAAAAGAGGAAAAGCAGACCTGATAGACACGACAGCTCTAATTCCAGTGTTCATTTGACAAGAGTGAATGATCATGTTAGTTAGACAGTTGTCTGGCAGACAGAGCAGAGCCGCGGTGAGCGAGTGCCAGGAGGACAAAAAAATGAAGGAAAACCAGGTGGCAGGCTGCACTGAAAATGAACCAAGAGAGCCCTTTGGAGACCATAGAAACTCTA